CCTCTCCCTTCCGATCCCCCATGATACCCCCTCGCGCTACACCCTCCCCACGCGCCACATCCCTCACAATCGCGCGCGCACGCTCGTAATCGCCATCTTGCGCGAGCGCACGCACAACAGCGGCCATGGCGCCCCAACCAGGCAGATTCTGTTTCTTTGACATGCGCGTGAGCACGCTCATCATCTTGCCCACCTCGCCAAAGGACGCATAGCCTTCTAGCAAGCGGTCGAAGAGGACGCGGTCGCTGGGCATGCGCGGGGCGCTGAAGAGGCGGAGGACGATGTCGTCGACGCCGGCGATGTTGGGGGGGTCAGACTGGAAGTAGTGTGTTATAAGCGACGTATAAACATGTACACTAGGTACAAATTTGCGGCTTGTCATGTGTTCCATGACGGCGCGCATGGCGTGGAAATTTGAGTATTTCTTCAGGAGACGGTCGATGGCTGTGGCGTAGATGTAGTCGTTCATTTTGAGGCCGTTGGCTTCGAGGTCGTTTAGGATCTTGAGGATGCGTTCGGTTTGTTGGGTTGGGGTGAGGTTGTCGAAGACTTGGTTGTCGAAGGCGGCGCTGATGAGCATCGTGTGTGTGGCTGCGTCGCCTTCCAGTCCGTCTTTTTCCATCTGGGCGAGGATCTTGAAGGCGGTGCTCCGGTCGCCTGCTCTTAGGTAGAGCTGCACGAGAGAGTTGTATGTGATGGCGTCGGGCTTGATTTGGAAGTTTCTCGACCAGGTGAGTAGTTTCTGGACTAACTCTACTTTCTTCTGGTGGTGCATTCTCTCGCTACGGTTTTGTACAATGGCGGATATGGCGCCGTTGATGACCTCGATAGAAGGCTTTGTGCATGGGTTCACTGCTTTGCTGGACGATTGGGCCTTTTTGGGGCCCTTTTGTCCTTTGGTCTGCTTCTGAGAGTTGGCGAGAGCGTGCTCGGCTGCAACCCAGCGTTTGCCCATATCGTCCAGAGCGACAAAGGCTTCGTTGACCTGTTTTAGGGACATCAGGCCGTTGATGCGGGCCGTCCAAGCATAGTTGCTTGGCTCTAGACCAGCTCTTAGCATGCGCTGCCACATTGCGTTGAGGCCATCAAGATCCCTTGCCTTTGCGCATCCTTCCAAAAGTGCAACCCAGGAGTGCATATTTGGCTCGACCTTGTGAGCGATCATGTGGTTCCAGACCTCGACGGAGCGCTGTGGGCTGAGAACAGTCATGTACCCAGAAAGAAAGGCGTTGTATATAGCGGGGGGTATAGTCTTGTCCTGCGTGGCGTATGTCTTCTCAGTCTCTCGCCACATGCTGTCCAGCGCGGCTGCCGAGCTTTTGCTTGACACAGCACGCGCTATCCTGGTCATGTAGAATGATTCCAAGTTGGTGTACTCGTCGCCTGTATTATCTGGACCAAGTGTCTCGCCGGCTTTTCCAAGAGCTACTAGGGCTTTTCGTGGAGCGTCATTGATTTCCTCCATAATCGTGATCTGGACATCTTCTGGTAGTTTCTTAAAGTCCGGGGTTTCTGTGTGTTTCAATACTGAGTCTACAAATGAGCCGGCAAGTAGCTGTCTAAGGAAGGCTAGAAAGGGAGCGGCTTCCTTTTGTGTCTTTGGATCCAGTGCGTCCGAGATACCGTAGAAATAAACAGCACAAAAAGCCAAGGCAGGACTAGCGACGTAGTTGGGAATGTAGCCTTGCAAGCGCATGTTAAACTGTCTCTGGTCAAGCATATCCGGAATCGTGTCGACAGGTGGTAAGTGCCATTCAGCACTGACAGACTCTATTGTACTGCTCCCTGGCCCCATGCATTGGAAGAACAGTCGCCATACAGACAGTAACTCCGTGACTAGTGAAGGGATGTCTTTTGCCGATCCAGAAGGGGAGTTCACAGCACGTATGATTTCATACGTTAAATAACCTATCGTCGGTCTGACCCAGTACTCCTTCCGAGCAATGCCAAGCTGCGCATATTTGAGAAGTACTGCAGTTGGTGTAACCTTCAAACCCGGGCTGGCTGCGCAGAAGGTACTCGAGACAGCTCTGAGGAGTTTCGCAAATACCCGGTCTTCACTTAACAGCTGCGCATCGCGATCTGTTGGCTCCGTCAAGGCTTTGCAGTCGCGTGAAGTATAGATGCTCTCAAACGCTTTCCAGGCTCCATTGATCTTGCCGTAGCGGAGAGCGTCGAGCACTGGATCAGCAAAAGCTGTGCCCATTCCAGACGATCCGTTCTGTACTGCATCGACGTATGCAGGTTCCTCTTCACCACCACCATACGTTGAGCCTTGATTTGTTTCGTTATAGATGAGTCTGGAGTATCGGCCGGGTGATTGTTGGCTACGGGGAGGTGGCCCGTCGGGTGCGCTCGTAAATCGTATATTTAGCCCGTTGCGATTCGTTTCCTGTGTGCCGTCTCCCTCATCTCTATTTTGCGTAGATGCTTCTTCATTTGGCGGTTCGGCAGCATCGTGTGGCTTTCGGCCGGCCAGCGAAACGATCGTGGCCCTAGGTTGCCATTGAGGGCGTCGCACGGGGGCAATGCGTCGGGCCAGACGTGTCCGGCACTGTCGACATACGTATGCGTTTAGCATAATGCTGTGGCGAGCCTGAAGGGGGTGGAGGGGTGTGAACGCTGGCGACGATGGTTAGCTGGTGAGATCGAAACTTTTTTGGCGTATGAGTTTGCACACTAACAATCGCTTTTCAAGCCCTCATTTGCGCGGTACTGTCGAATCAAAGAACGCCCCCAAGTCCAGTATACCGTCCCGCTTGGATTGTTGTACAGAAATGCGTGCAGCCACAAATCGCGTGCAGGTGTCGCGATGCTGTGCGGAATACCTCCGGCCAATGAGACGCCATGACGTCCACACGCTTCACGTGACTGCGGGCTTTCTCCAGAAACCTTCCAGGCCACCTCAACCTCATTGTTCATGCTCTGCATAGCGGAAGAGCTATAATTATAGATCTATTTTCATCTCCGAGCCTCAGTGTGATTGATAAAACATACGATGACGACCCTGATCCCACGGCAGTTCTATTCGCAGGACGAGCTCGATAAGCTTTATCCGAAAGAGCTTGAGTTGCAGCTCGTACAGATTGTGAGCACCAATGTCATAGCTTCTCCTTGTACCACCACTAACTAAAATACCAGTTACTTCGCCATGGTGGGTAACAGCGATGTCTCACCCACATGTTAGTAAGCTCATGTACTGACGTCTACACATAGGCGAAAGAAGCCCTGTATCTCCGCGCTTCCAAAATGTAGGCATCCTAGTCCGTGCACTACAATGCCATTACTAACATTATCAGACTGGACTGCCACCTTGTAAGACATCTCTCACGAGCTGATCGAGAGGTTTCTGACTCGAGAAGATTGGCCCTACTGCAACTCCGCCCGACAACTTACCAGTATAATACTGAACACGAAGGACTTTTCGAAATGGGATCAGCTGAAATATCGCCGTCGTCTTGAGACTTTTGGCATGGATGATGGGCCCGGTACCAAATTCGCTCATTTACCCCAGACGGCCACTAACAACAACTAGTCATCGCATCAGGACCTAAAGGCGAATTCGATGCCATATGTCAACCCGGTGAACTCACAGACAAGGGCCGTGAAACAACTCTAGCCCTAGGAGAGCGCCTTCGTCATCTCTACGTGAACCAGCTCAAGTTCATGCCCGAGCTCATCTCCGACAGTGACATGATCTATCTACGCGCAACGCCTATTCCACGCGCTCTAGAGTCTCTTCAACAAGCCTTCTGGGGCTTCTACCCACCATCCGCACGAACTGCAGACTTCCCTCCACCAACAATCATCACCCGAACCCCGGCTGATGAAACGCTCTTCCCTAACGACGCAAGCTGTAGACGTTTCGCTCAATTGAGCCGAGCATTCGCGCAACGTGCAGCCGAGCGTTGGAACGACACCGATGACATGCGCTACCTCACCAAGGTGCTTTCGAAATGGATGCCAGGAGAGCAAAAAGTAGCGGTGGACTCTCACCCTAGGCTTTCCGGTATTATGGACACTCTCAACGCCACCGACGCACACGGTCCGGAGACCAAGCTTCCCAAGGAATTCTACGACCCCAAAGCCCGTGCCATTATCGATAAGATCGCGGTCGAGGAATGGTACGCAGGCTACACTGAGTCCTCCGAGTACCGTATGCTCGGTATCGGCGGCCTAATGGGCGACATCACCTCCCGAATGGTCGGCAGCGTCGAGCGCAACGGCAACTCCGGCATCGTCGAAGTCGGCGGCGTAGACGGCAAACTAGGCAAAGGACGAGGCGGCGAAACCAACATCCGCTTCGCCATGTCAGGATGCCACGATACTACCCTAGCCGGTGTCCTGACCTCGCTCGGTGCCTTCAACGGCGAGAAATGGCCCCCATTCACCTCGCACATCGCCGTCGAAATGTTCCGCAAGCGAAACCCCAATGCCATTACAAACCCTCCTGTCGCCCCCACAGAGCAAACCCCCACTCTCAAAACCCAAAGCTGGTGGTCCTCCCTCTTCGGCAGCACAAAAACCACTTCAGATACCAGCCTCACCCCCGAAGGCATAGCCCGCAAGCCCATCACCGATCTCACCACCGCACAACGCGACCAACTAAACGACTACTACGTCCGTCTCCGGTACAACGACAAAGTCATGGAGATACCGGGTTGCAAAGCACCGGGCAAGCATCTAGACGGCGATACTAGTTTCTGCACGCTGGACGCGTTTAAGGCTATTGTGGATAAGTATACGCCGAAGAATTGGAAGGCGGCTTGTGCGACAAGGTTGGATGAGCCGGCTTTTCCGGTTAAGACTGAGCCCGCGGGTTATGAGTAGTTAGTTGTGTGAAGGGTGGATACAGTTTGAGGAGAAATGAGGGTAGTGGCGGTATAGACTGTTGACATGTTGGTTGAAGAATAGAGATAGACTAGATACAACATGAATCTATTTCCTGACTTCCACCCCAGCTATAACATCACCCTTGGATTATCCACATGCTCCTCCCCCTACATCCCCAAACACAGCCCGCTGCGTACCACACCCCAAACCTTTCCGCGCCGTTCTCTCGCAAGCCGGTCATACTTCTCCTCCAGCCCCACAATCCTCCCATCGCGTTCCCTCAGCTCCCCCCGTAACCCTTCCATCTCTTCTCTCAGCTCCGAAATCCTTGTCCAATCTTCTGTTTGAAGCTGCGCCTGGAGCACCTGAACCTGTTGGCTCAACTCCATTTTCTCTGCCCGAAGCTCAGAGATGGCATGCCCGTTCTGGATTTGGTGTTGCAGAAGTTGGTGGCGTAGTTCTGTCTTGTCTGCCTGGAGTGAAGACATGGTTCTGTGGAGGTCTTGGACTTCTGTGTCGGCGTGGTGGGTGTAGTAGGTGAACAAGGTGGCGACGATGCCGTCGAGGGCGCTGTTGGTGAGGGTGGCGAGGTGGGAGATGAGGTCTGTGGTGAATAAGGCTAGGGGGAAGGAGGATAGGGAGGAGGATGTCATGGTGAGGTGGGTGTGTTGGTGTTTTGGGAAGTGGAAGAAGGATGGCGATGGCGATGGTTGATGTGTGCTGATGATGGTGTTGCTGTGATGGTAGATCATACGTTATAAATAAACATCGCATGTAAGTTCAAAGCGTCAATATTGTCTTACTTTACAAAGGAAGCAAGTCTTTAGTATGTGTTCAGCACATAGACCAAATGTTAAGACATCTCAAAGTACAATAAACTGTTCACTGATCCTGCGACATATCGAAAGTGTCTCATCTGGTGACTTAGACCCTCAAGCTCCCTTCCTACATTTCCCAAATACCCTCCGTCCAAGATACGACTTCAGCCTACCAAAGACATTCCGTCGCTTCGACACCTCATTACCCTCCCTATCCGCGACAATAGTACCACTGCCTTTATTCGCCCCTTCTGCATCTGCGTCCCCTTCTTCTTCTTCTTCTTCTTCTCCCTCTTCCTCATACCTCCGCACCCTCGCTTCTTCCGCCTCAGCCTCTAGCCTTTCCCTCTCCTCCATCTCCATCTTCTCCCTCACCGCCTTCGCCCTAGCCCTCGCCGCCCTCTCCCTCAACATCTCCCTCTGAGCTTTCAAATGCGCAGCGTAGTCCTCCGCAACAGTAACACTAGTATCATACCTCGCCGCTTCATCAGGAAAGTCTAGCGGCTTCGCGTTAGACGGAAGACCTAAACGTGTCATGTATTGCTCCCAGGACTCGGTGGTTGGACGTGGATCCGGTCCGGTTTGTGTGGGTTTGATGTCCGCGATGACGTGAATTTGGAATGACATGGTCGTTGATGTATTGAGGGTGTGTTAGGCGAGGTGTAATTGCGACCTTACGGATTGGAGAAAAGGGGAGAGCCACTATAGTGTTTCGGTTGCGTGATGGACTTGGGAACACATGGTATAGTGTTAATGTAGACTTCTTTGACCCCTTTCACCAAAGCATACAAAGGCCTAGATTTCAAGGCGTAACATGCCATTCACTTCAGTGCCGAGAGAAATGTGAAGCTATTCTAGCCCCGCTTGCTAGTGCACCCAGAGAGAAGTCGATCATGAATTAAGTTTGGTATTTTACATGTATACCCTTTACTGTACATGGTCAACTGAAGCCGCTGTACACAGAGCCCTGTCTAATCAAGACAAACTCTTGTCGCACGGCTGACACCTGATGTACAAGACCCATGCCGCTAGTAAACACATTCGAACAAGTGGCATAGTCCGCTGACAGCACACCCTAGATTCCAGACAAGTACCCCACCTGTAGTATCTTACAGCTTCATCAGTAATCCCATCACATACCAAGCCGCTGAAACCGGGACGAAAGTTCAGAAACATCTAGGTGTCATGTCAGCATACACGCAATGAGATCAGAGCGTTCAAAAGCATTCCACTAACTCGCAGAAGCCTCGTCAGCCACCCTATCCGAATGCCGTATGGTGCCTGTAAAACGCCCTGTACCACCAGCAAGCATGCCATCAAACTCTGCGGCGCGAGCTGCTTCAGCGTCTTCCCAGCCGGTTCGCAAGTCCCAGGCCGCATCCAGTGCAGCCAGCTCAGAAGGATCGATATCTTGCACAATGTCACCCAGGTGGCTCCACTTGGCGCTCAGCATAGCAGGCGCAAGAGCGACAATACGCTTGCTAAGCATCTGGTTGCGCCAGTGAGCAGCCATGCCAAGAGGATCGACATCAGCTTGATCAAAGGATGAGCTGGACAGCTTAGCATAACCGCATGAAACAAACTCGATTGTTCGCAGTGAGGTAGTGCGCTCGCCGTCGGCCTTGGAATGCTCAGATCCAAAATCGGAGAGATTGGTGCCGGGTGAGATCTGATCAATGATGTCCATCCAAGAGCCTTCACGGGGCTGTGCCTTGAGTACAGACTGGGCGTCACCTGGAGCTGGATTGTTTGCTAATGCAGGAAGAGGTTGAGGCTGCTGTCCCAGAATCAACTGCGTTTGCAATTGATGGACCTGTTGAGCGAGCTGGGCCACAGTGGCGAAATTGATATGCTGTTGAGCAATTGCCTGAACCTGCTGGTTTGGCTGCGCCTGTGGCTGCACCGGAGCTTGGGGTTGACCTTGGGGTTGAACTTGAGCTGGTGCTTGTCCTTGACCTTGAGGTTGAGCTTGATTATGTGGCTGTTGTCCTGGGTTGTTGGGCACCTGTCCGATCTGCTGTTGCAGTTGGTTATGTAAGGCCGCTATATTGTTGTTTTGAAAACCTCCAGCGTGGGCCTGTAGGTGTTGAAGTTGCGTTTGAAGCGTCTGGATATAAGCCTGAAGGAACTGCTGCTGATTTGGCACTAATTGCGGACCTTGGGCACCGACAGCGCCAAATAGTGCACCTACCGGAAGATGAGGCGGCATTATATTGTGAAATGCCGCTGGTTGCGGGTGTGGGTTGGCGTTAGGACGCAGCACGCCCGTCAGTGACACCGAATCCAATACCAAAGTCTGCAGCTTGTACCGATCGTGCATCTTGACGAATTCGCGCAAAGCTGGTGGCGTAATCCAGCAGTTGTTAAGCACGAGTTGTTCTACATGAGGGAATTGGAGCAAACCTGCCTTCACAAGAGCTGCGTCAGTCGCGACCAGCACCGTAGGGTGGATAGAAGGAGGATTCTCTGAACGGCCTCGCATATCCATTACGGGAGCAGGAAATAGCAGTTTGTTCCTCGCGTATAGTCCCTCAGCATGTTCGCCTCCAGTGACAAAACCAACTTTCAGATGACGGATGTTCGCTCGACCAGCAACATGATGGCGGAGTAGGTCGAATAGTATACCGTGGCTTTGCGTGGGGCAAATCTTTGGCGCGTCAACGAAGCCGGCCTCGTCCTTTTGCACAGTCCGCCAGCATGGGATCACCATGATAGTAACGTTGTGGAGTTCTGGTAGTGCGTCCCAGAAATCCGATCGATTTAGCATTGGGAGGTAACGATCGGAGAGCCCGGAAATGTTCAGCGTGTGTACGTGTTCGAACGTGGTCGGGTTGTCGATAATAGAGAGCATGTACGAAGACATGAACGCTCGTTGGGCCCACTCAGTCTCCAATAGCCATTCTTTCTGCGCTTTGGTGAGCTTGGCGGGTATGACAGGGTTCACAAGGTGCGCTCCTTCCGATGGCATCTTAATCGATGAGAACAGAATACCTGTACCTGAAGGTGGTGGGGTTGAAACGAAGCGCTCCAGAACATACGGGTCTTCGAAGCTATTAGGAACAGGGAGATCGCCGGGTTCATAAGGAGTAGCAGCATGGAGAAGCTGAGGATCCAAGTAGGGCATCTGTGGTTGCTCATCTGCAAGATTGTTGGCATCCTTCAGCTCGGAAAGAGGAAGTTGACCATCCATCCTGTATAGTGTGGCCAGTCTAACATCGCTACCAGCGTTCTGGTGGCATGCTTCAATGTGATTCCAGAGTTCCTGTTGGGCCTGGGCTCTACGATCTGGGATGGCTTTGGCAGTCCCAAAGACGCGAGATGGCTTTTGCAAGACACGTGCTCGAATAGATCTGTCCGGTCCGTTCAGCCATCCTAGACCGCTATCAATGGAAAGCGCCAGTTCCCTGACACTTTTAAGCTCTGAAAATGCTGTTTTCATCCGCGGTGTTTCATCAGCGGCATTCTCGAGTCCAGCGACAGTATCGAAGCGACGATACTCTTCATGTGGCCAGTCGTAGTTACCCCAAAAGCTTGTCTTTTTCTCCGTCAGTGACTTGACGGGCGGCATGGAAAGCGATTCTTCGTTGACTTCAAAGCTCATGCCAAACTTTCTAATGTGTGTACCGAAGCCGCGGAAGACGTCGAGGCCATGGCCGTTGTACACTTCATCGCCGTTTGCGTTCTTCCATAAGTAGCTGGGTTGCTCGATTCGTGCGCGCTTTTTGCCCTTGAAGTCAGGCTTGTGCTCTTGTGCTAGCATGCCGTAGATCTCGGTATTGAAGGGAACAACCACTGTCCGGAAGATGACCTGCGAGACCGATTTGTTCATCTCGCGGCTTACAAGACGCAGTGATTTTATGTCGTCGCGGTTGAGGTGTTCCGCGATCATCTCTACAAGCTCAACCGGCAGCTTCCATTTCGGGCGCCCAACCGAAGGACTAGGAAGAGTGTCATGCGACGCCTCATTCCTTGCAGTCTTTACTGCCTTCTTTCCACTTTTCTTAGAGGGGGGATGCTTTGGATCCTGATCAGATGCGAGCAGTTTGCTCTTGTCGAGCAGGTAGTATTTGGCGGGTAGTTTTGTGGAACTGCGGCATTCGGGCCAAATATCGTTCGCTTGAGGGTTGGGGCTGATGCTGTTGTATAGCATGGCACTGATGGCACCCCTGAAGTTAAGGACGTGTGCGATGGCCTTTCCTTCTGGGCCCTCATAGCTATCGCGCGAGCGCTTCGAAGGGCCGGGCATGGTGTGGTGATGTGAGTAGTTGAAGGGACGGTGGAGATTGTTCGCGGGTGACGAGGGGCCTCCAAAGGGAGCTGGTGTACCAATTGGAATTCGGTCTGCTTCGTCGTCCCAGTCGCCGTCGGTGAAGTGAACGCGCCGGGAGTGATCACCGGAATCACTTTCACTGTGATCGTATATGCCCGCATCCTGTTCTCCAAACCTCTCGGCGTCTTCCAACAGGTCCAAGTGCAAGGCCATCGCAAGCTCGTGGTCGTAAGGATCTTCTGACATTGAGCCTTCGCCTTCGCCTTCGCCTTCACCTTCTGGTGCTTGAGGGGTCGGGTTGTAGAGCGAGTGAGCGAAAGGAGGATGCCTTCGCCGTCCACGTGGGTCGAGGCGGTATCTGTATGGGCGGCCGCGTGACGAGGAGCCTCGGTAAGATGTCGCTCCTGGGTTTGCGAAGTATTGATGAATGAGAGGCTGATATATGTTGGGCGGGTTGTTCGCGGCTTCGGGACGTGGGGAGGGCGTAGGGCTAGCAAAGAGGGTCGCGGGCTGTTGCACGTCAGCATATGGCAGGAGCGAAGGGGTAATGATGGCCTCATGCCTGCCAAAAGCAGATGTTGCTGTCGGCATGCACGTGCGGCGTGCCGTAACGGCGGAAGGTGCGTATGAGGTTTGCCGTACCTGGGCAGGAGCGTTTGTTTGGGTTCCGCTACTCTCACCTTCCGTGTCCTGGGGCGCGGCTTCGTTCGAGCGCAATGCCCACCATGGCGTCAGCCTTTGGGTGATACTGCGCCTTCCTTCGTTGTTCGCCATGATCTCGTGACTGAGCCAGACCGCTTCTTGGGCGATCTACAACGTCTCGGGACTCCAGATAGCTTCCGAAGGGCACGCGGTACAGCGGTAATACAGCACTGCGCCCATGGAGCCGCGACGGCAGGCCGTTGGGAACCGGCGGATATTTCTGTACCTGAGTGTCTATTAGTGAGATGACACAAAGATATCAGTGTGCATGTCGCGATGAGAGTGAGGTTCGGCACGGCGGCATGCGGTGGTGTTGCATGCTTCATTCACAAGCCCAAGCCCAAGAAGTTGTTTGTGCTGGAGCCGCAAACGCGCCCCGCCGAGCCCATGCACGATGTCATCCCGCTCTGCGAACCATCCCCAGGTCTCCGCATTTGCGCCACGGCCGACATTACCCCTGGCAGCAAGATCCTCTCTCAGTGCTACTAATGCTATAGCATCTTTACTGCTTACAGCTCTTTTCAGCATCGCGCCGTGCTGTTCACTGTGAATAACCCTGTCTTCTGCTCCTGCCCTGTGCCTCCGTGGGCGTCGATAGATCCGCACGCCCTGGCATCTATCTGTCAAATGCCAATTATCCATTGGGAGAATCTGTGCCTGAGAAGATTAGACAATTAGTAGTAAGAAAGAAAAGGAACTGGACTTTGCTCTAATCAGGCGTGCCATCGCCACCCTCACAGACCACGTGCGGAGCGCGGAAATCCGCTCCGCAAGGCTGCAGCATAAACCGCCTGCCCAGCGAGACATACGACCTTCACGTTCTCAACTACCAATGCCCAGCGCCAATTCGCAAACTATGGAAGCCATGCCATCTTCCAATACTGCTTCACCACTTCTTGCCCTGCCGCGCGAGTTGCGCGACGAGATTCTTGGCTACCTGATCCTACCGCAGTACGTCTATACATCGACTTCGATAGAGGACACCCAGCATTTGTACAGATCGCGTCAGATACCCTTGGATACATATGTCGATACACGCATCTATCTCCCTTCCCGTCCACCTCCAAACGTCCTAGCAACGTGTCGGCAGCTACGGGAAGAGTGTCTAGAACACCGTCTTCTGCTGTCAAGGGTCACTCCAACAACGCCAGACTCGGAGGAGCAGCCCTTGAGTAATGTCGTGGCTGAGAGGCTTGGGACCGAATTTGCCGAAGAAGCAGAGCGTGCCTGCGACGATGACGCTCTGCGTATTACAGTGGAGGTCCAGCGCCAGCTACGTGGGGCTCACGGTTACTACGTCCCAACGCGCGAAGAGATGTCACCTCGTTTCCTCGCACTACTTCCAATTATTGGCAGGACTAAAAAGCTTAGGCTGGCTATCTGGCCCGGATACGACTGGTGGAATGGTGGTCCGCAGGTGTTCATCGATAAACGCGGGAATGCTCGCGTCAACCCTGGTGAGGCAGCGAAGCCCAATGCTGCCTCAGTTGCCATTAGCCGGATCCTCCAGTACTTCCCTCACGTCGAAGAGCTCAGTGTGGATGTCCTCATGCAGGCATCCGATGGTGGTAGATGGGACTTGCCAGACAAAAAGTGGGAAAATGTTCAGCCTTGGTTGGATGCACCCGTTACACCTGCAGTAGGAGAGACAGTGAGGCAAGTCACTAGGAAGCTAACCGGCTTCTGGAAGACATCAGAACCGGAGCCCTTCTACATTCAGCACGAGGTTCGTCAATCGGGTAATACTTGGAAGGTCGACAGGAAGGGCGATATGGGCACCGTGAGTCGCTTTCGAGCCATACGTATTTGTCTGTCGCTTACAATTCCAGCCGACGATGAAGTCCTTCTGCGATACCGGCAATGATGCCGACATGGAATTTCTCAGATCGCTCGTAGTCGAAGAATCTTTCGTCCGAAATGATTAGAAGACATGAAGCTGAGGTCATGTCTAGACCCGCATGAGCGTCGGAAAATTACTGTGGCCCTACTCCTTAGTCCCACCGACGTTTATATTGCCCTCATCAAGCATCGGCGAAATGTTTCAGGCGCACGGAATGACTTGTGGGGAAGCTTGACTTGACAGACAGGGATCCATGCGCGCGGAGCGTTCCCGACGCATCGCAAAATCGATGCACATCACGAAGAACATCGTCTTTCGACAACTAACTGCTGATCAGCTTCTGAGGTTCTTCCGTCAGCTCCATCAATACTAAACTACCAGGCAAATCCACCAATGTGCCAAGTGGCCCTCCCACCTTTCTCGGATGATCGACAAGTCTACGGCCTGACCATGGGACACCCTTGAGAGGAGTAGCGTCTCGTTTGGGCATAGCTTGCTTGACATGTTCATTCCTTCGAAACAACGGGGTCGACTACGAACACAGATACTCCGTGAGCACGTTCTCCTCTTTCCATTTCTTAGCTCGTACGATGTCTGACGTTGTACTTAAAGCCGATCTGCATCTTCCCAAGTCTACAATACACAGTCCAGATAACAAATAAACTACGACACTCCTTTCTACTACTACCATCTGTCAACATGAAGTTCAGCGCGCTCCTCATCGCCAGCACGGCATCTCTCGCCCTCGCCGTACCTACCGCTACGATCCAGAAGCGTGCAGACTACTGCGGCCAATGGGACAGCGCCGTGACCGGTGATTACACCGTCTACAACAACCTCTGGGGCCAAGCCGACGCCACATCCGGTTCCCAATGCACCGGCGTTGATGGTCTCAGTGGCAGGACCCTCAAGTGGCACACTTCATGGTCCTGGGCTGGCGGGTATGTCCTTCTCTCTCTCTGACACCAAACTCATACTTACATCGCCTCTAGCCCTGGACACGTCAAGTCCTACGCCAACGTCGTAACAAAGATCACCCAAAAGGCCCTCTCATCCATCAAATCCCTTCCTTCGGTCTGGAAATGGTCCTACGCCGGCGACGACCTCATCGCAAACGTCTCCTACGACCTCTTCACCTCCTCCAAAGCTGGCGGTGACCCCGAGTACGAAATCATGATCTGGGTCGGTGCTCTCGGAGGCGCTGGTCCCATTTCCGCCACCGGCAGCCCCATTGCTACCGTCACCCTGGCTGGCAACAGCTGGAAGTTGTACAATGGCAAGAACGGCCAGATGAATGTTTTCAGCTTTGTTGCCGAGAAGCAGATTAACAGCTTCAATGGCGATTTGATGGAGTTTGTCAAGGAGGTTACTGGCAAGCATGGTATGCCCAGCAGCCAGATCTTGACAAGTGTTGGAGCTGGCACTGAGCCTTTCTCTGGTAGCAAGGCGAAGCTCTCTGTTACTGAGTACAGCTTGAGCATGAGCTAGATGCATCCCGCTCTTGGTTTATTGGAAACCTTGTAGATGCACATATGCACCTCTTCTTGTATATACTTTTGTCTTACTCTGCACATACTTCTCTCGCGCACTGCACATACAATGATCAAAACATTGCTCTGGCTTCTTGCGCGCTATTGTGGTATCTACACTTCTTGCTCGACTTGGAGGATGGTATCGCGGGCCGCTCTTCCTCGTCTCGCTTCTGAAAACTGACGTTCCTACTCCACGTTACACGAGGCAGCCACCGATAGCATCGTCTAACCTAACCCGGTGCGCAATGCGACAGCGTCACTGGAGGCCTGACAGGTAAGCTTCAACAAGCCTTAAGAAGCTCTTCAGCCAAGCTGCAGGTGGAGATGAAAGAACCAGACCAGCGCTGATCGTCAACCTCTTTCTGTAATACTACAGTGATCTATGTCAAAGAGTAACAAAATCATGGCACCAAAAATCGCAATCATTGGCGCAGGCCCCGGCGGCTGCATGCTCGCACGCCTGTTACTCACCCAATGTGACTGCAGCACCACCATCTTCGAAGCAGAAGCCTCCATCAATTACCGTTCACAAGGCGGTACCTTGGACTTGCGCGCCAACACAGGTCTCGCTGCAATAAAACTAGCAGGCCTGTGGGACGAGTTCCAAAAGTACGGCCGCTACGACGGCGAGAGTCTGCTTGTCACCGACAAAAACCTCACGACATGGTTGAGAAGAGGTGGACGAAAAACAGCAGACGGGAAGCTGAGCCCAGGAGACGCACCAGAAATCGATCGTGCAGATCTGAGGAGAATGCTCATGGAGAGCTTACCTCATGACACCGTTCGCTGGGGGTACAAGCTCTCGCGCGTCGAAGAAAGCAGTTCAGGACTACGTTTGTGTTTCGCGAACGGCGAAGTGCTAGACGGCTTCGACTTGATCGTAGGTTGCGACGGCGCTTTCAGCAAAACACGCAACCTCTTAACATCAGAGAAGCCATACTACGCCGGTCTAGGCGGCTGGACAATGTACATACCCAACGCCTCGACCGCTGCACCAGACCTACACAATTTCGTCAACAGAGGCAGCGTCTTCGCCTACTCCGACGGAAAATCGCTGTCCATACAACAACTCTCCGACTCCTCCATCTACGTCGCCTACTACGGCCAGCACCCAGAGGATTTTGCCCAAACATGCGGTTTCGACGCCCAGAACGACGTCGAAGCAGCGAAATCAGTACTGAGGAAGGAGCTGCACGATTGGTCACCCCAGCTCCTCGACGCAGTAGAAAAAGCAGAGACAGGACTCGTATGGAGAAACCTCTACCAACTCCCCGTAGGCTTCACCTGGCCACACAGACCCGGCATCACGCTCCTAGGCGACGCAGCGCATGTCATGACGCCATTTGCAGGAATTGGCGTTAACACGGCGTTTTACGATGCCATAGTTCTTACTGAGCAGATCGTTGCGTACAGTTCATCTAGCTCCGCCGGCGGCGAGGGTGTTAATCAGGTGGAGGCGCTGGGACGGTATGTAGAGAGGTATGAGAAGGAAATGTTTAGGCATGCGCATGCTGCGCAGCGGCGTACCGAGGGCGCGAAGAATGCTATGTTGTTTACGCCTGGGGCGCCGAGGACGAGTATTGAGTCGTGGGTGCTTTGGCAGGCGGAGGAGCAGCTGCCGGGGTGGGGGAGGGGGCTTGTTGGGGTGGTTGTGTATGTGGGGTATTGGGTTTATAAACTGTTTGTGTAGAAGTTGGCAA